AAAATCGGAACCTTAAAATGTTGTTAATTGTCAGTTGGATTTTGTTTTTTGGGATAATTGTTTACAAGTTGTAGTATTAGGTATTTCAGTAGTGGTTTTTGGTTGAAGATAATCTAATGAATGGGTAATATTAGCATGTTTGTATTGCTTGCATTTTAATGAAATGGTATATTTTGGTACAATTAATAGTTGCACTTTGTTCTCTTATAAAAGATTACAATGGATTATTACCATCTTGTATTGCTGGAATTAGGAGAAAAGTATCTATTGGTACAATTAATAGATGCAATGCAACTGTAATCTTTTGGTATTTTTCATTTAACATATGACTAAAAACATGCCAAATGAAATGACCAAAAACATTCCAAATAATCCATTATAACATTAAATGAAATGACCAAACACATGCCAAATGAAATGTCCAAAAACATGCAAATGAAATGACCAAAAAACATACCAATAATTGATCCATTAGATAACATTAAAACAAAAGCATACATAAGAGTTTAACCAAAAACAAATGTCTAAGTACCAACTGCAATTGTTTTGGTGATACTAAACACAATACAGTTTAATCAAAATACAAACATCACATGACATAATAGTTTAACCACAATACAAACATCACATTACATAATAGCTTAACCAAAATAAGAGAGCATCACATGATAAAAGAGTTTACAATGGATCCTTCTCTTTTCCTTTCTTCTTCTGTTTTCCTTTCTCATTCTCTTTTCCTTTATCCTTCTCTTTTCCTTTCTCATTCTTCTTTTTTCCCTTCTTCCCAACAGTTGGTAACTGCCCTTTGCAAGTCCTGGCATTGTGTCCTTTGTTGTTACATTTGGTACATGTAACAGTTTTTTGTGCTCTAGAAACTGTATTCCCTTTGATCATATCCTCTTTTTCTGTAGCTGACTTCCTTCGTTTCTTTTTTGGTCTTCCTATTGGGACACGGTGTTTTGGAGGCAACAAAGTAGTTGGACAAGGTGACTTAATCCACATTCTTCTACCATTTATCGGATCCACTTTGAAAGAGTACATGTTCCTCCAGGTTGATAGCCAATAACATTCATGAACAAAGGTTTCTGGAATACCAATTGCACCATTATTTCTCCTCATGTCCCAGATTGCAGATACAGCATGTTTGCATGGCATTCCAGTTATTTCCCACTTCTTGCATGAACAGGTTCGTTGATTCACATTCACTACACACTGATCTTGCCAAGGTCCACTCACTTGGTACTTCCCATTTCCACAAAATGATGTTGTATACTCCTCTGCCTGATCTTTGATCTTTTGCAATAGCTTGGTAGCTGTTGGAGTCAAAGGGCCTGTTGCTTTGTCAATTTCTTTTTCAACATTCACAATCCTCTTCATGATGTACTCCCGGATGAACTCTAAGCAATTGATAATTGGTGTGTCACGTCCGTCTATTATTTTGCTATTAAAGCACTCGCATATGTTGTTTATCACAATATCAGAATGTGCTCTCCCTATTAATTAATAGAATACATGTATAATTGGTTAGCAAACATTAGAGTATTGTTATGAACTCACTTAATTTAATGAGTAACCACAACAAGAACAACACAATGTAAAGAACAGAATGCAATTCCTTAACTATTACTAAATAATATAAAATACCCATAATGCCCCTGTACCAACAAGATGCTCTTTATTTGATGATTACCCCAAACTACCCTTTCTCTAAAATAAGGTGACCAGAGTGGGTGCATAACAAGTATACAACAATAGTTATCATATATTATAATATATAACATGGTCAAACCTGTAAAATGAGAACGTGCCCAATGTTGAGGTGGTATTTGTTTAAGCCACTCATAACATTCTTGGTTTAATTTTCTAACTTCTTCCATTTCTTTTTCAAACTCTTGCACAGTATATGTTGTTGAACAATTCCAAAGCAGTTCTTTAAACTTATCCCCTCTCCAACGTGACCTCATATTTTCGTGTATGTGGCGAACACAATAACGGTGCTCTGCACAAGGAAACAAATCTGCGATGGCAGAACTTAAACCCTACAAGAAAGATACAATTATGTCAATGATTTCTTTTCCTTTAGATATTAGTATTCAAAACAAAGAAAATAACCTTTTGCCTGTCTGATATAAATGTAAAATTTGAATTTGAAGCCAACCCTAGGTCATCACCCAAGTGAGTTAAAAACCATGTCCAAGAGTTCAGTGTCTCAGCTTCAACCACAGCATATGCTAAAGGATATATTCCATTATTCCCATCTAAAGCCTGTGCAATACAATCCAATAAATAAAAGTAAAAAATAAATCAAAATATATGGTTCAACCACAACATAAGAGAAAATGTACCACAGCAGATAAAATTTGACCATGGAAAGGTCCTTTCATGAAAGCCCCGTCTACCCCAAGAAAATCCCTCTTCCCTGCTGCAAATCCTTGCTTCAAAGCACCAAGGCACACGTACACGCGTCTGAAGGTTCTTGTCTCAACATCAGGATTTGGTTCACTTTCGACATCAAGCTTGATAGTGGTGTCTGGGTTTTGAGTCTGCACTTCTAACAAATAATCTTGTAAGATCTTGTACTGAGTGGCATAATCACCCCTGATAATTTTTAAGGCTGCTTGTCTTGCCCTAAAGGCTTCATCTTAGAAATATCTACTTTGTAGATACGTTGAAGTTGTTCCCTTAAAGCCTTGACTGGAATTTTTGGGTTTGCTTCCACCAGTTGTAGAATTTGCTTTGAAAGAAACTTGTAATCACAAGCCCTAACCTTTCTTGTTTGAAGACATTTATGTTCACTAACATATGTTTTAACTGTCCAATCCTTGTCACGTTTCCACTTACTGGCTAAAAGAACCCAAGGACACTTACCTTCTTCATTGACTACTTCTTGACGGTCCCACCACCTAGGCTTGTTATGGTTCCCCTGCATACAACCCTTACTCTGTTTTTATCATTCTTCTCAAAATCCAACTCCCTTCTTGTATCTATTGCATGTTGGTTAACCATATCTTTAAACTCCTTTGACGAATTAAATTTCTGATATAAATAGAAAGGCTCACTGACTTGAGCATTTTCGTTCTCATGCGCCCTTCTAATAGCTTTAATCTTTTTGTTTCTTTCTCCTTCGATCCCATCATCCGATGAAGAGTCGGACAAGAAAAGTTCCATATCTATAACTTCAAGGTCTGCTTCATTCCCATCTTCTGTAACTACATGATTCTTTCTTTTAGAAGCACCTCCAATCCACTCAACATCTGGGTCAACATTCAAGTGGAATTCTCTCATGTCAACTTCAACATCATCAATGATATTGTCTTCGTCCACAAGAAAGTCACCATCTTGACTCTCACTATCATCACCACTGTTGATCTCATCACCACTGCTATTATCATCACTACTATGTTCAATTTCAGTTTCCATGATGTTTGCATTATCACTTACCATGTCCACCTTGTCAATTGAAGGCTCATTTCTAGTAGGTGAAACAGGAGGGTTGTTTCTATTAGGCTCAAATGTCAACACATCATTAGGCTCAACTTGTGTATCATGCCATTCCAAAAACAATCTTTTTGGGGTACAATCAATCTCAACTATACGTACCTTAGATGGGTTTGGTGACATCGAGTATGTGTGTAATTTCGTTTGCCCGTGCTCTGTATACACCTCTATTAGCTTATGCTGGCCAACATATTTTGCTAAATGCCTTACATCATCATCTGAAGCTAAAGCAAACAAGCCAAAATCCAAATCGCATAGTGGCCTTCGAAAATGATAGTACATCTCCACATGTAGATTTTCATCGATATACCCAAGTTTCACCATCATGTCATCAATATCGTGAACACAGAAAGTCTCGATGTCTATTAACTCAACGTAATGTCTCTTTCCGTTTACATACTTCCTTCCAGGAAAATCAGTAAACTTTCCACCATGGTTTAATAGCATGCAAAACATGGTCGGATGATCACCTATTAAGGAAATGCCCAAAAATTTTGATTAACATTTAATTAGGGTTGTAGGATTTCACGAAGCAAATGCAAATAAAAACGAGATTAGGGACTAGGCGGACTTACCATATTGAAGACGAACTTCTGCTTCACTGATCATCCGTCCTCGTGCTTCACTTAAATTCCAAACCGGCATTGTTGATTATTTGGAAAAGCATACAAAGTTTTAGCTAGCGACCAGGGTTTTCGTTTGAGAGAAGAAAGGGAATTCGTCTGACAAGTGTGTGTTTGTGTGTGTTTTGGTTTGACGATGATCGGAATCGTAAAACCATCCGTCTGTATTCTAAATGGCGCTAATATATTGTAGGGTTGAAAGGACAAAAATGCCCCCAGCGTGCCACTCACGTGAGTAGTTCCTAACCCCAAATAAGACGGAAAGTTAACTAAAGGACTAGGCGGGTAATGAAATAAAGTTATAGGGATTGTCCGAGTTAAAAATTCTTTCCAGGGACGAAGCGTGCAAGTAAGAGCAAACCATAGGGACCAACCGTGTAATTTGCTCTAGATTATAAATTTAAATATAACATTATATGGGCAACTTAAATATAAATTTTAGTTTAACTTAAACAACCCAAAGAATATTTTATAAATAGTTAAAAATGATAAATTGTAGTGTCTTAATAATAATGATTATAAGTTGATTAATAAGCTTAAATAAATATCAAACATAAAGTGTAATCATAAATAAACTAAATTTCAATTTTAAAATAATATATTTACTTCTACTTATAAAATTATGCCTTTAACTTTTAAAATATTATACTTAATTTATTAAATTTAATATGTTATTATATATAAACCATTATCAGTTTAAAGCTATAACTTTTGAATAATTTTGACAAAATACTTAAATTATTAACTTAAATATAACATTACAATGTTAACTTAAATATAAATTTCAGTTGCATTTAAAAAACTAAAGAATATTTTGTAAATAGTTAAAATTGATAAATTGTAATGATAAATACAAAAACTAAATTATAATATTAATTTATTTAAAATATTTCCTAAAGATATTTTTATAATCATTAAAAAATTTCAAATAAGTAGCTTAAATAACTTACAATAATTAAAAATAACTCATTATAAATGATTATATTTTTACCTTTAAAATCAAAAAATAATGTTTGATGTTTTAAATAATTATAATGATATAAATTAAAACATTAAGCAAATAAATTTTAAAAAATTAGTTAACAATAACAACAACTATAAATAACATTAAACCATATATTATATTTAATTTTATGCATGTGTAACTCGCGAGTAGAAGTCATTCAAACAATTGAGATTATGAAGTTATAATCAAGGTTCTAAAAAGCTCGTCATAGCTCCAAGGCTTGTAGATGCCGCAAAGTTTTACCAAAATGCCACCTTAACTCATATATGTGTATAAAAATGAATGTTAGTTGAAAAATACATATAAAAATATTAATTATATACAAAATTGTTGTCTTAAGTTACGCCTTACAAATGACGTGGCTTACAAAGACTTGGAAAAGCTTGAGGTTTGACACTGCTGCCAAGTCACGCCATACATTATTTAAAACATTGGTTATAATAGATGTATATATTATTATATAATTCATAATAACCAATATATTATATAAATTTAGTATACAAATTATTATATCAAATTTAACAACAACGTTATTGTTATATTAAAAAAAACATATATTTATAAAGTCTTCAATTATATAGGTATTTCTGCGCAACGCACGAACATTCGCACAGTAGATTTAAATACCTTGTATGTTGCGGATAAGCCTAAATAATTGATTTAAATTTAAGTGCCTTGTATGCTTTATGATTTTCATAACAGTTCCATAATTATCTTTTTTTTTTTCATCGGTAGTATATACTTTTATTCCTAAAAAAACTAAGCGTTTGTTTATACTTTTATTCCTAAAAAAACTAAGCGTTTGTTTGGGATTGCTTTTTAACATCAAAGTCTTTTGTAGAAAGACTTTTTGCAAAAGGAGCAATTTAAAATGTGACATTTTGGATTAACAAAATGACTTTTTGTGTAACTTTTATATGTAAAGTCACAAAAAGTCAGGTTTTTGTAATTTTTTGAAACACTTTCTTTTCCTCTATACAAAAAGTTATTTTTAAAAGAACTTTTTTATTACTCAAATATCTTTTGGCTTTTTAAAAATTTTAAAAATTAAAAATCATTCTAAAAGCAATGTCAAACACCACCTGACACAAGACCGACGTAAGAAATAGCAACTCAATAATCAATATATAATTATATAAAAAAAAGTTTAACCTTGAAAAGTAGGTGGTAAGTTGCTCAATGTAAGTTAATCGATCAATCGAATTCAAACTTCATTGATTTGATTTTGTATTGAGGGCTTTGTTATTCGGAATTAAAGCTATATGTGTATTTTACTAGTTGGAAATATGAATTTAATGTATTATTATTTTTAATTAACTTTATGTTATTTCTGTTGTTTGTAGGCGATGAAAATTTATTTTTACAAGAACTTAAGATGATGGTATTAAATAACAAAGATATACATGAATAGATGAATGCACTTTTATTTTGTCATAAATTTGATTGTTTGAAAGATATACATAATAGATGAATGCACTTTTATTTTGTCATAAATTTGATTGTTTGAAGACATGTAGCACCATTTTATCTTATTTTTATCAAGTTGTTGTGTTTATCGTTTTTAAACAAGAATTAATTAAATTGAATATTTTATGTCATTTTTGTCGTGTTGTCGTGGTTTTTGGTTTTAAACATTAATTATAAAAACAAAAAAGAAATTACGTTATTTTTGTGATGTTGTCATGTTTGTCGTTTTTTAGTTGGATCGTGTTCGTGTTAGGAACAAAAAACATGACATCGTGTCGTGTCGTGTTCAGGTTTTAGAAAAACAAATCGTGTCGTGTTGTGTTAGGTAAAAATACGAAACGATTGCCCGAATTGATAGGCTTGTCGTGAAGACATAAAAAGTTGAATTTAGATTCCAAAAAAATTGTCACTTTTCGGGGAAAATATTGTCTCAACCTGAAGATTACTTGTTAAAATATCAATCAAGGTGCACCTTGGTTCAAGCTTATTTACTTGGCAAACCTGATTTCAAAAGAAAAATTTTCCACATTTGGTACCATAATAAGTAGTTTAAAGGAATTATTGAACTTTCAATCTCATGTTCCACATGGATATAAAACCAGGTGTATCAACCCAACTAGGTTGGATATCGTAGGCATTTGCTCGTAGTTAATTACGTGACTTAAGATCAACTATATGTGTACGTATACGTTTATTATCCAACAAATACGTTTATTATCCAACAAATTTAAACGAATATTCTGGAACTCAAGCTGAACACACGTTATAATTTCATTTTAGTCAAAAACAAACGACTTACTATTCACAGAAAATTTTGGTCTCCCTTTATCTTGTTGGTGGAAATCTTTCTTTATCTAGTCTGTACGAGTGATGATCACACAAATCAGGTGGCATGTGCATTGAATTGATGTCATTTATCCTTTTGTGTAAGAATTTATCTTGAATATTAATGCGATTCCAAAGTTATTGATCTATTTTAAACTCTTTTTGTGAGTTATTTTTAAATGGCTTGACTTATGAAGCCTTTTAGAGTTAGGTTTCTTGATAGTAACAAATCCAAACAATTTTATAAACATTCAAATAAGTAGTAGTTTGGTTCAAATTGGTTCCAACTTAGCTAGAAATAAATAAAGTCTAGATGATAGATCAAGAAACTTTAAAATTAGTCAACATAGATGATAGATCTAACTTTAGAGCTTAAAAGAATTTCCATTTCTTTTCTAGAACATCTTTTTTTGGTTGAGCTACAATGATCGATCACTCTGGAAAGAACTTTTTGTACCACCTACAGATAAGAGTAGATGAGAAACTAGTAAAGTTGGTTAGTATTTTCCGTCAACTTGGCTATATTTTTATTTGGATAATTAGTAATAAAAATACGCTTTTTCTATTTCTAACAGATTTATTGTATTTTGTGGAAAAATATTTCAAGTTTCAAAGAAACGACATTATTTTTTTCTAAAAGATCTCATCCCAAAAATATGTCACCTTTGGAATTCGAAGATATAAATATATTTCAAAAAGAGATTTAATTGAAAATTTGATCCAACTTGAAATGCAGAATGTTCATCTTAAACAAAATGTCAATCGATAAACAAGTTCGATGTAAATTGTGTTAACTTGGATGAATTTTTAATCACCAAATAGGTTTAATTTTGAATGTTGAAATATAATATTGGTAATGATGTATAGCATACAACGTATGTAAATTAAAAAGTCGAGCTACAAGAAAACAATAGTAGTTAATATGTTAAAGTCCCAATAATCGCATTTGTCATCACTCATATACAAATCCAGCCAAATGTAGCCACATATGTCGTGTCTTCTATCCCAAAATCATCAAATATCAAATTGAATTAGAGCCTCAATATGATCCCGTTAGAAATACTCTCAACAAAGACCATTAAATATGTATGGCCTATTTATTATGGATAGTAAGTTCGTTTAGGATTGGTTGAACTCGTTAAGTTCCTTGCACTTCCATCGAATGTGAAGACTTATTTGGAGGTTGTTTTCTTCACACACACACACACACACACACACACACACACACATATATATATATATATATATATATATATATATATATATATATATATATATATATATATATATATATATGAGTAGGGTCAAATGAAAATACCAAGAAGGTTTAGAACGTGAGAACAGATCTGAGCTCTTCAAATATTACGATCTAAGGCTAATATAATTTAGAAAAGTCATGAGATGAAATTGTAACTATCTAAAAGTCATGGGATGAGATTGTAACTTTCTAAAAGTCTAAAGGGTAATATGGTCATTACATGTTAACCTATTTTTGTCAAGTTGCTGGAATCTCTCTATCCCCCCCCCCCCCTTTTCTCTCTATCGCTCACTCATGTATCCTTCTTTGTTTCCCTCTCTAAATACAAATTTCAAACCTTTAAACCCTAATTGAGTCGTCACCACCATACACTTCCAAAACCATCATCACAACCTTCATCTTGAGATTCCAGACTTGCAAATCAATTTTAATCAAAAAGGATTGTTCCTGATTTTTCTTAAATGTG